ACTCAGAAGCATTGGAAGGCAATTTGGCAGCATTTATTTTATAAACTTAATAGCGAAGGCCAAATAACAATCAAGATTAGAGTCTATAATTAGAAGTTCAAGGTTATCGCTAAACATACTTACATCATTGAGATTCACACCTACGGCAACAGAATCAATAAATGTTCTGGCGATCCTCCTTTAGCTGTGAGGCAGTAAATGCATGAAGTTGCCTCGAGGCGCTGGCTTCAGTTTCTGTGCACCTTGTGGCCTCTCCCATGAGACCGCTTTGCGGAGCAGCATGAGAGTTTCATTGTGGGTTTCTTCCAACAAGCTGGAGATATTATAAACTCTTTTTTGTTTTTGTTTTTTTCTCCAGTAGTGTTCACAGCAACATTGTATCACCTGTTTTTTGCATTCTATCTCCTGACCCGGAACCTGTTGTTTCCTCCTGTGGGAAGAGCCCAGGCAGGCTTAAAGATACAATAGATACAAGTATCAGCACATTTGTATAACAATATCAGTGTCAGTTATTAAAAAAAACAATCATAGCAATGAAAGCCTCCTTATGAGTCTACATAATGCCTTGAAGTTGGTGACTTGATACTTCATCCAATACGATCAGGTGGCATATGTTTTCTATCTAATACATTCAGGGCCTTTATCACCTTGTACCAGGTCAGGGCAAAATCCATATTAAAGTTAAGGGCTATTAATGGACGCCTGGGTGGCTCAGTGGGTTGAGCCGCTGACTCTTGATCTCGGCTCAGGTCATGATCCCAGGGTTATAACCTCACACCCCGCGTCCGATTCTCGCTGAGTGTGGAGCCTGCTTAAGATTCTCTTTCTTCTCTCTCTCCCTCCCTCTGCCCCTCCTCTGCTCCCACTCACGCCATCTCTCTCTAAAATTAAAAAAAATAATAATAACAACACAATAAAGCCTAAGGGCTAAGAAATGATGAGGACCGTGAGATTATGACAGCAGTGACAATAAATCACTGATCAGAAGCTAACACTGTTTCAAAATCTTGTCCCCCCCTTCCAATTTCCTGAGTTTAATTTCTAGGATAATTAATCAAGTGAAAAAATCTGTAATTATAGGACTCACAATTGTCAATGGTTAATACAAAACTATGAGGCAAGAAATGGCACAGAAATGCAAATTAATGTCAGAAGTTACTAAGACGTTAATAAAAGAAAATCACAATAATCAATTGCAATGAAAGGCTCAAATTAGACAGTGTTTACCTGGAAACTGTCCATTTACCATGAATTACAAGACGTGTTCTGCTCGATTTGTTCCGAGTGGGTTTTCCTTACCACTTCTGCCCCCGCCCCCCGGCTTTTGTTTGGTTTTCTTTAGTTTTGAATGATGGTTGTTGGTCCCTCCCCATCCTCTCCCTCTGGCTCCTGTTCCTCACTGACATGCCTCCTGGGCAGATGTCCCCAGCCCTCCCTTCCCTGTCACAGGCTTGGAATCAGGTCTCAGTGCCCCTTCCTACATTCCCAGGACCTCTCTCCAGAGATGGGAATTCTGCTAGCAATTAGCATGCCGCAGACAATTTTTTCTTTTTCTTTTCTTTCTTTCTTTTTTTTAAGATTGTCTGTGAGATTAGAATGTTTCTATTTATTTTGGGAACACAGAGTTGATCAGCTCTCACAGCAAGCAAGTTATTAGAACATTTTGAAAAGCAAATTTTTGTGTCTAACTTGTTTGCCACTTGGAGAGATCTTGCAAATGTCAGTGGATTTAATATCTGTGTCTTCTTTTTCTCATGGAAATTTAGGGATTTATGGCTTCTTTAATGCAACATATTCTCCACTTTAAAAAAAAATGAGTAAAAATCCAAAGCATATCTAATCAATTCCTTATGAATTTACTGTTCATAAGAATTTTCCAGAAGAGTTATTGAAAATGCAGATTTCATGTTCTCCAAGTTTACATTTTAAGTAAGGATCGGGGTAATTCGGACGCAGGTTGCCCTCTTGAGGGAAAACTCATGTCATTGGTAGGGCTGTGAGGTCAATATGAATATTGTCAGATAATTTGATGCTCTAGTAAGTGGCCATGCCTTGATTCCCGGTAGAAATTTGAAACTTCTGCCAAGGAAATTGGGCTTAATCAGAAAACTAGTGTGGTGACCATTAACCATAAAAGAGATTAGAGAGCTCAGTTTGATAACAAAGACAACAAAGGAATATGAGTGGGTAATAAATATTCCAAATAAAGTTAACTTTATTAATAAACAGTGAGCAAATGAAAACAACATGTGAGCTATTTTTACCCAGTTGTTTGTTAAGAATTAGAACGTGGTAGTGTCTACCACTAGGAAAGATTCAAGGAGTTAGTTGAGTCGGCATGCAAACATTGATATAGGGATAGAATATGGTAGAATCTATAGGGAGGCAAGTAGCGATATCTACCAAATGCTGAACAAATTGTTCAGTGTTTGCAAGAATGCAGTATTGGAAGCCTATGTCGATCAAGAAGAAAATGACTAACAACCTAGCAACATATGTGCTATAGAATAGTACGAAACCTTCATAGAAGAATGTGGCAAACATCCATACATTTCATTTTGAATATGCTCCCAGACACATTTAGTGGACAAAAAAAGAGATCAAAGCCAATTAGGATAGGACTGTCTCATTCATACAAGGACAGAAACATTCAATAGTTCCAGCTAGGCAAGAGAAGGAGTTTAGGAGATGGGAAGGAAATCATGAAAGACGATTTTTAATCTATTTGTGTTTCAATTTTTTTTTTTTACAGCAAAGTCATATTCCCATCTCTCCTCTGAATTAAAAAGAAAAGGAGATGAGATAAATAAGCAACAGATTCCAAAAGTAAGCAGATTTTAAAATACAGCAAAGCCTCACTAAGTTTAGGAACTGGGGGAGGGGTCTGCTTATGGGACATTTTTAACAACTGTGTTTTCCTCTTGATTTTTCGTTTTTCTTTTTTTTTAATGTTCATTTATTTTTGAAGGAGAGAAAGACAGAGTGTGAGCAGGGGAGGGCAGGTACACAGAATCCAAAGCAGGCTCCAGGCTCTGAGCTGTCAGCACAGAGCCCGACACGGGGCTCGAACTCACGGACCGCGAGAGCATGACCTGAGCTGAAGTCGGACGCCCAACCCACTGAGCCACCCATGTGCCCCTCCTCTTGATTTTTCAACAGTAGTCTCCTATAAACTAAGATGTAAGTATTAATAAATAGAATGAAGTGTATCAATAAAAAGCTTAATCCATGGAAAAGCCAGTTCTATACAAAAATGTATCATCAGAAAGAGAAATTTTGCTTACAGCAACAATTGGTGAAATGTCTGTGGTAGATACGCGGAACGTAACAAAGCCTGAAACTCTGAAGACACTACGTTTCGTGGGAATATTATCGCTGCCTGTTAAATTTTCTTTCGTTCATTTCAGTTTTTATTGCGAAATGGTGTTTATCCAATAACTACTCTAAAAACATAGCTCGGCCCAGAATTCTCATTGCCTGAAAACAGGGATTTTAGTCTGAATTGTTCTTGCTTTAAGAAATCCCGCAAGGGGCGCCTGGGTGGCGCAGTCGGTTAAGCGTCCGACTTCAGCCAGGTCACGATCTCGCGGTCCGTGAGTTCGAGCCCCGCGTCGGGCTCTGGGCTGATGGCTCGAGCCTGGAGCCTGTTTCCGATTCTGTGTCTCCCTCTCTCTCTGCCCCTCCCCTGTTCATGCTCTGTCTCTCTCTGTCCCAAAAATAAATAAATGTTGAAAAACATTAAAAAAAAAAAAAAAGAAATCCCGCAAACTAGAGGCTCCTGGCTGCTGGGTCAAGGCAGCGTGGGACTCTTGATCTCGGGGTTGTAGGTTTGAACCCCACGTTGGGTGTAGAGAATACTCAAAATCTTAAAAAGAAAGAAAAGACAGAAAGAAAGATCCCACAAACTAAAAAGTCACTTCAAATGCCGTAAAAAATATCTATCTAGATCATTCAGAATTACAGTGCGAATCAGTAAAACCTGAATTAATATAGTTACATGACACTATGCACCATACTTTATTTTTTTTTAAGTTTATTTATTTATTTTGAAAAAGAGAGAGAGCTGGGGGCAGAGAGGGAGACAGAATCTGAAGCAGGCTCCAGGGGCTACAGGGCTGGAACTCACAGACTGTGAGATCATGACCTGAGCCGAAGTCAGATGCTTAACCAACTGTGCCACCCAGGCGCGCCAACATTTCATTTTTGAGAATCGGTTTTCACCAGCAGCTGCCACCTACTATTCCGGCATCTTCTGTGCTCTACGGTAAATACATATCCCGCCATATTTCCATTGTGTACGCCCCAAGGCCGGTCTGCAAAAAAAGTAAATGCAATACATTGATAGAATACATTCCCCTGGCTGACTAGGTTGGCAATTCCCTCCTACTGTGTGCTCTCACTGAAAAGCGGAATCAACCAATATTCATGCGTGCTAGGTCAGCGATGGGAAGGGTCAGCATCGGAAAAAGGAACCAGTATCAAATTCCTAGAACAGTCGTGAACTTTGCAGCATATCGCAATCACCTGGGGAGATGTAAAAACTCCCAATGCCCGGGATTCACCCCATACCAATTACATCAGAATCTCCATGTGTGGGACCTGCACGTCGGTCATTTTTTAGAGCCACCCAGGGGATCCGATTGGCAACTAAGAGAACCAGATTCCAAAGAACATTAAAGGTTTTCGAATCAGAACAGCCAGAGAAGGTACCATAGACATCACTTTGGATTAACAGGGCAGTTGGTGTTTTGTTTAATGGGGGGGGGGGGGAACCACCCAAGATTTAGTGTACTAAATGAAGAACCACACTCTTAAGATTTTGACACCTGTGTCTTTCCCTGGGAATGAAATAATTAGAAGTTAGAACACCTGTGTGTGTTTTCCTCGCCTCAAATGAGATCCAGGTTCAATTATTTAGGGACTAGAGTCCAAAGAATCTGAAGGCACTAGAGAGCAGTCTAAGCAGGTTTGTTGGTTTTCTTTGGTACTTACACAACTTTCTACACACGCTCTCTGTGCCTTCTACAGCAGGTGTGTCCCCGGCAGCCTCGGAGCAAGGTTTTCACGGTCAAGGAATAGATGTCCTTGCTGCTGCTCCTTCTTCTTCTTTTAAGAAATAGACTTAGAAAGGCTTAGGGCCACAGGAGAGGTTTAAATTCACGCCACTAGAACAGATGCCAGCCATTTTTATGCAGACCGCAAGCTTTTCGAAAGTTCGATGGCTTTGAAGTGTCCCTTCAGCTGGGTTTGGTGTTTTGTTCGGTTTCTTGTTTGTTTTATCGCGGAGTTGTTGCAGAGGGGAGTATGGGACTGGGGATCAGCCTAGGAAGGTGAGCTCACCTGAATCGCATGGAGGGAGCTGCTTTTTGTCAAGACGGGGTCCCCCCTGCCTTTCCGAGAAGCGGAGGGGGCCGCCTCGCTTCAGAGGCCCGGAGAATGGGCAACACCACCATATGTTCTCACTTTTCACTCTAATAGGCAACCACCTGACCTGGCTTAAGGAGTCACCAAGATGCATTTAAATGGTGTGGGGATAGAATCCGGGAGTGGAAAGACCCGTGGCTTGGGAAGCAAGAGGGTTGGCCACGCTTGGCGTGGCTTTTCCAGTTCCTCTTCCTCTTCCTCCCCTGGCCTTCCGTGTTCTGACCTGGAATCCGGAGACCAGCCTCGGGCCCCCTAGATGTACAACCTCCTCACTGCAGGGACATGGGTAAGTCTCCTGCCATCCTCGGGCTGTCCTCCCCATCTGTCACCTTGGGTCTGGCCACATGAACTCGGCTCCTTTAACCGCCTGGCTGGGGTTTGGTCTGGAGGAGTGGAACATGGCCAGGGCGCTTGGTGCTTCCTGGTGGGAGCTTGTTTCCTTCTGTGGCTGGGTTTTCTAAACCAGCTCCTTGCAACAATTCAGCCTGGGGGTGGCGAAGAGCGTTAGACAGCGAACAGGTCTAGGTCCCAGCTTCCTACTTCTGCATCCGACTGACCCTGAGTGAAAGTGTCCACTCGTTTCTCCTTTTCTCCGTGTCCCCCCCCCCCCCCCCCCGGGCTTGGTATCCTGGCACTGGGACAATGTGTTCGCGTAGAGATCTCCCTACCAATTTTCCAGAGTCGCTGTAAAAAATTGGGCGTTGGGAATACTTTGTGTGGGTTAAGGGCCCTTTGTCGGGGGTTGAGACCTCTCTCCGCAAGTGGGACGCAGAGGAGTTTGGACTCCTTGTTTTAAAATCCTGCTGAAAATGAGGTCTAGTTTTGAAGCTTGTTTGTTTTTAAAAAAGTCTTTAATCTACATTTGGTGTCTTTGCTGTTAGGGGTCAAACATAGACTATAGTTCCTTTGGTTTGGTTTAAGAAACTGTGAGAACACATACTTATTCTCGTTATCTGTGTTCAGATCTCTTATGAGGTTAATCCAGATTAATCTAGCTGAAAAAAGCAGCCTGTCATCATCCAAGAAACATTTTAATAGAATCAATCAGTGGCCACCATAATTACAATTATGAAGCCTCGAGTTAAGCTGATGAAAGTTTTCTTTTTTTCCCACCTGGTCCTTTCCCATTTTCTTTTTTTAATTGAGGTGTAATTGACATACCATGAGTTTCAGGTGTCCAACATGCTTCTATATTTGTATATATTCCAAGATGATCAAACACAGATCTGGTTAACATCCATCACCGTAGATGGTTACCATAGACAGTTAAGTTTTTGTCCTAGTGATGAAAATTTCTAAGAACCACTTTCTTAGCAACTTTCAGATACACACTCAGCATTATTGACTATCGTCACACACACCCCGCCTCCCCCCCCCCCCCCAACTAATCCGCTCTCTGGATCCATAAGCTCTTTTTTTGGTTTGTCTTCTGTTGTTGTACTTAAGACTCCACATATAAGTGAGGTCCTATGGTATTGGTCTTACTTCACTTGGCGTAACGTCCTCAAGGTTCCTTCAAATTTCCAGAAATGGCAAGGTTTCATTTTTTTTTTTTTTATGGCTGAATTATATTCCACCATGTGCGTTTATCCCCTGAACTACTGATGGACACTTAACTTGCTTCCATAGCTTGGCCATCATACATGTGCTACAAACATGGGGTGCGTATATACTTGTGGGTTAGTGTGTTCACTTTTCTTCAGATAAATCCCCTTAAGGGGAATTGCTGGATCATAGGGTAGCTCTATTTTTAATTTCTTTGAGAAATCTCTGTAGTGTTTTCCACAGTGGCCGCACCTGTTTGCATTCCCACCAACTGTGCACGAGGGTTCCCTTTTCTCTGGGTTCTCATCAACCCTTGTTATTTTTTGTCTGTTGATAATGGCCATTCTGACAGGTATGAGATGGTATCTCATTATGGTTTTGAATTGCATTTCCCTGGTAATTGATTGTTGCCACCTTTTCTGTCCTCCTCTCTTGTGATCCTTTGTATTTCTGTGGTATCAGTTGTGACCTCGCCTCTTTCATTTCTGATCTTGTTCGAGTTGTCTTTGGGGAGATGAAAGGTTTGTCGATTTTGTTTACCTTTTAAAAAACCAGCTCTTCGTGTCACTGATTTTTCTTTTTTTTTTTTTTTTTTTTTTTCCTATTAAGTCTCTATGGTCTCTAGCCCACTGAGTGGTGAATTACATTCTATGCTCTGGGAAGAAAATGTTGTGAAGTTTGCACAGAAATACTAATCATGCTAATAGTGTGTGCGTTTCCTCTCAGACCATCAATTTCTCGATTACAAAATCCTTTAACTGGTACTTCACTAGAGCCTCCTAGGACTGTTCTCTTCAGTTGATGAATCGCATCATGTTAAACTCCTTTTAAACCCTGACTTTCAACTAATGGTCATAATCCATCCTGCTCAATCCAGCTATGCATTTGGGGGGTTAGCGATGGGAGAGATTAAAAATATCCGTATATTCTTTTTTTCGACTTTGCCATTCAGTGGTAAACTTACTACCCAAACTTCTATTGGAATTAGTCTCAGTCTTGGGTCTTGACACATAGGTCATGAAAGATTACCAACTTAAGAAATGCCCTAAGCATTCCCCAAGCTGCAATCCTTTGCAGGCAAGCCCAGGAAAGTTAAGGTCTAAATTAGAGTTTCAGAGTCAATATGGCCTTCCATATTCCATCTCAAGACTGAGGTGGAAACATCAATACTGCTACTTTGCCTGAAGTAGACAGAAATTAATGGTTTCCAGACTTGTTCCCATTGGAATTTGACAGGTGATTCTAAAGCTGATACCACACCCTAGACTGAGCCATCATAATCCCTTGGGATGGGTCACAGGTGTTTGTAGTGTTTGAAGCTCCCCAGGGGATCCCACTGTGAAAGCAAAATTTGGAACCACTGATTAATGGCATCCACAGAACTTGAGTTAGTTGGGGTATTGCCTGGATTTCAATCCAGGTGCTGAAAATCTCATTCCATATCCCTTCAGGAAAGGGATCGTCTCTAATAATGACAGTAGGTGTTTTATGGTCAACCTATGAAACACTTAAGACTAGAGTTCTCTGTGGCTATTTTGTCTCAATGAATGTGAACTACAACTTAGAGTAAAATTTCTTTTTACAAAAGTTTGGAAAAGTCCAGCCGTCCATCAAGGTCTTAAAACCATCTAATCATGATCTAGAAGAAATAGTAAAATGCATAGGATTATTCTACAACAGAGGACATGAAGACATATTTTTAATGCTTTGTGATTATTCCTTTTTTGATTTAAAATTGTATTTATGTAACTAAATCAACAATAACCTATGTAAATCAGGAAGTAATTTTTGTCTGAATTTTAATTGAGTTAATTTTATTACCTAATTTTTTGTAATTAGGTAATTAAAAAAAACTTTTTTTTAATGCACTTAAATAGTCCTCTGGGGGGGGGGGGGGGGGAGTAATGTAGTTACCGAACATTGTGGTATACTTAGGTATATTGTGAATAATATAAAGGCATATCCATTCAAGGGAAAACAGCAGGGGAGTTTACTGATGGGTGTAGCAAGTCCTTAATGAGCACATCTTACACAGCAAGCCTAGGATGGAGTTCTGTGGCTAGAAAGAGGAAGAAGACTTTTGTACTCCTGAGGCTTACAGTTGAATGGGAAAGACCGCCATTTAATAAAGACCAAGATAGCTCATTAGCACTGGAATAAGAGCTACTAAAAAGAACTTGGGAGAGCACGTGAGCCATCTAACTCCCAATAAGTGACAGGTCTGGGAAGGCCTCCCTGTAGAAGCTGAGACGGACACAAAATCGTCATCAGGAGAATGGGGAGGTCTCCTGTGAAATGCTGGGGTGTGTCTGAGTTGAAAATTCAGTAAAAAGAGTTTGCACCAAGAAGTATCTGCAAAAGTATAAAGTTTAATCGCACGCCTGAAAAAAATAAGTTACCATTTTTGTCACCATTGACATCAAGTGGGCTTTGGGGCCACAGGCACCCTGATCTCCACCCTTCTCTGCCACCTTGCAGCTGTAAGAGCTTAAGGACCCTCTTTTGCCTCTCAGCATCTCCTTGTCTCCCTGTTGTGTGGATACAGTGAACATTTCCATGTACTGCTGGGGTCATTGACAGAATCACCTGGAATTACCTATTCACTCAAGGCTCAAGTATTGGTGTAGGAATATTCAACCAGTGGTTGGTTGCTTTCCATGTACCCTCTATCTAGCTCTTCTGGGAGTGAAGCATTTTGATTAAGGGGATGTAGAGCAGCAGGTTCCAAAATTAGAATCCATTCCAGTATCCGTGGAAGACCTTTGAGAGACAGATGGGTAGGCCAGTCCTAAGAGCTTTTGACTGAGGACATCTTGAAAGTTGAAAGTTCCCTCAGGTGTTAGAGAAGGTGAGCTGAGTTGAGGACGGCTTACCTAAGAAAGCTCTAAAATTCTCATCCCTTTTGAAATGTACTCGGGAGTATCTGTAGGACTAAAACTGAACACTTTGACCTCTCGAACAAAAATTGACACGGAAAAGCCTTCATGATGGCAGAAGACCTGACACCATTGTAATGTGACGACAGCATCCTGAATGAACAAGAGGTCTGAAATTCTCTTCACACAAGGACGCACTGAAAACCCCTCCACACTGGAGTCTATGCAAAGATGTGGCAGGATGACCACTTAGTAGGCTAGTCCTTACTTTGTGCCCGGCACTATCCTAAGACCTAAAACCATGTGCGGATTCAACCTTGACTCCAAGTTCTACCTCAGAGTTGTGAATCTATCATCCATTTTGTGCTCTAAGGAAAACCGTCCCTTAAATCCCGAGTTTCAGTATCTTAGGTGTGTCTGAGCTATTTCTAGCTCTTAGGATGAATCCATGATTATAATTACACTAGATAGTTTTCTTCAAGAAGCTGAAACAACTCCGGCCTCAATTGTAAATAAATAGTAAATGGTAGCCATTTGTATAGTTATCACTACACAGGGTTTAAGGTTTTGAAGGCTGGGCTTAAAGGCAACTATAATCAGAATGCAAAAACATTGGAAACCCAGTACACATTGTGTATAGGTGATTTGGCAACTGGCCTTAAATGCGAGGATTTTATCCTAGCCTAGTTTAATATATTATGGTGCAGAAAGCATTGTCTTGTAGGAGGGAAATAGCATACGAATCTGACCGTGACTTTAAACTTTAAACTTTTTAATTCCTTAAAACTCCCTAGCCAAGAAAGAGCTTACACTATTTTTCACTTTAAAAGGGTTTACTTTCAGTTTTATTTATCTAGTATTTACCTCCTTGTGTTCAACACCAGAGCATTACATTTCCAATATATGTTGAATGGAATTTCATAAAAACTGTCTCAATGCAGAAACTGGATACTGCATTTTCCCAAGTCACCAGATAAACCTTTGGCCTATTTTTTTAAAGTTATTTTGAGAGACCAAGAATGAGTGGGCATGGGGCAGAGAGAGACACAGGGAGAGAGAGAGAATCCCAAGCAGGCTCTGCACGGTCAGCATAGAGCCCCGTGCCGGGCTCGAACTCACGAACCGTGAGCCAAAATCAGGAGTCGGATGCTTACCCGACTGAGCCACCCACGTGCCCCTGGCCTATTCTTTTTTTTTATTTTTTTTTTAATTTTTTTTTCAACGTTTTTATTTATTTTTGGGACAGAGAGAGACAGAGCATGAACGGGGGAGGGGCAGAGAGAGAGGGAGACACAGAATCGTAAACAGGCTCCAGGCTCCGAGCTGTCAGCCCAGAGCCTGACGCGGGGCTTGAACTCCCGGACTGCGAGATTGTGACCTGGCTGAAGTCGGACGCTTAACCGGCTGCACCACCCAGGCGCCCCGCCCCTGGCCTATTCTTAATGTAACTGTGAAACGACTTGAGAGAGCTACAGAGGTTTCAGATGATCGAATAACCAGCCCTATTAGTGGTGGCGAAGAGCCTGGACGTTGGAGCAGATTTCCTGGTTTCAGATCCTGGCTCCGTCGCTTTGTCATGTCACGACCTCCGTTGAACACCTTGAGCTTTTTTTGCCTCGGTTTCCTCAACTATAACGCGGGAGTAATAAACACCCCTACCTCGGGGAGAGGTGAGACTGGAGTGAAGAAGCCTATGTGGCTTCACCTGAAAGAGTCCCTGGTACCTGAAAGGTGTTCTGAGCAATTGCTGCTGTCCTGGTCCCTTCTTGCCAGTTGTATTGCTTATGTGGGAACAGGTGTCACTTGTGGCGGTCCCAGGTATGGAAAGTAAAACCTTCTTGAATCCCTCCAGCTAGTCCAACACAGTGGTGCATGCTCTGATGTTTTCATACAAATGCTAACTGTGTGGATTGACTCGCACCCCACAGCTCTGTGCCCATAGTGTTTACCCGATCAAGGGTAGGGGAAAAGGGAGGATCTGGGAAGAGAACAAAGGCAAGGAAGGAGGAAGATAAAGCTTGAGGTGTGCGTTAGTTAAAGTAAAACAAAACCCCCTAAATCCCCGGGGCTTATCACAATTAAAGTTTATTTCTGGCTCTGAGAAGAGGCGGGAGGGGGCAGGGGGAATCTGATGTTACCACTTAGAAACCCGGCTGGAAGAGGCTCAACCTGCAAGGCTGTCCTTGTTGTCCCGGAGAAGCTAGTGCAGAGGGGGTGTGTGTGTGTGGTTTGAATATAAAAACTTACTTTTAAGTCCAAGTGTGCAACAATGAAAACCTACAGAGTGCGATGGGAAAATCTGTAATCTGTTGCTTTACCCGATGTTTTCAAAACACCTTCCCTCAGTCATTATAAAATGGTTAAAATACAACAGAAGTTAAATCTGTAAGGAAGCCCAGTAGACCAGATGCTGTCATCAGGACTTGTGTGTTGGTGGTTCTGCTTTCATCCACCCCACGCCATCCCCCTCCACTCAAGCCACCTTGCCCAGAGTAACCTCCACTGCCTCCGCCTCCGCGGCCATAGCCACCCAAGCCATCAAGGTGCCATGTCCTCCACTGTAAATGTTACCCATTCCCGTTGTTCCAACAGACCCACGACCTCCCCGATGACCCACTCCAACTCTGCCATAGCCTCTCACTCCAGAACCTCCCATTCCAGAGCCGCCTCCAGGAGTAGAATTCAAGAAGAGTTCAATGTACCGATGTGCATGTGGTTCTTTTCTTCAGACGTGGCAGCTACAGCATCTTCGTGTGTCACAAGTTCCACGTCTGCGTCTCCTATGGCTCTGCCGTCAGCTCCAATATCCACATGCACTCGCATTGGATTTAGGGGTGAGAAGAAACGGCCAGTGTCCTCTTCAGCTGCACAAAAACCAGTTATGTGGCTGCACCTGACTGCAAGGGAGGCTGGGAACGTTCTTAGGAGGGAGGGAAACCTGGTTTGGTGAATAGCTAACCGTTTCACCCTTGAGGTTGAAATGGACAGGGTGGGAGACTACAGCTGCAAAGTATTAGAGAATCAGAATTCAATTTATTATTTTTTTTTATTTTGAGAGAAAGGAGAGCGAATGCCACGTAGCCTCTAGGTTCAGCATGGAGCCCTACTTGGGGCTCGATCCAGGACCCGTGAGATCAAAACTGAACTGAAATCAACAGGGGGACGCTTAATCAACTCCGCCACCCAGGTGCCCCTAGAATTAAAAAAAGAAAAACCGTGCGAGCTTTATGGAAAGAGTAAAGGAAGGAAGAAACCAGGAAAGTAGGAATAGGGTTCCTTGAAGGGGGAGAGGTGGTGTGAACAAGGAGAAAGTTGTCAAATGAAGTGTTGATCTAAGAAAATTACTGGCCAGTTTCTGAATTTTGCTGGAAAGGGACCTCCGTCTTAGAGACGGGGAAGTTCTCACTTTCTGTCCTCAAACATTTTCTGCAATAGCCACTTGAGTGTTTGAACCTAGCAGCGCTTGGAGCTGCTTGATGAGGAAGATAATCGAGACTGGCGATAAAACTCCGAAATGTGCCGAGCTCCCTGAATAAAGAACGTCCATCCTCTTCCTTGTCTCTAGCTTCCCCCTTTAAATTAGCTATAAAACTCAGTCCCCCTGCCCCTAAGACCGGAAGCCACCCTGTCTGAGCGTCTACTCACAAGGAGGGGGAGCTTTTTCTCAGGAACAAAGCTGTCTCCGTACCCTGTCCTGCTATGGGTTTACGTATGTGCGTGACTTTTGTACCCTATCAAAGATCTCCCAGTACAGAATAAAGGGGTGGGGGGAGTTGATCAATTATAATGGGCAGTGATGACTTCTTTTGCCTACTTCCTATTCTTCCTTCTGGATAAAGTATTTTTTTAAGTACATCTGTAATCTTACTGAAATTTTCACAAGTATTCCTATTTTTCCTTTTATGTCTTCATTCAACAAACAATTGTCGTGGGGCCTCCCTGTACCAGATTACGTTCTCCCAGTCCGTATTGCTTGAATGGAAAACCGTTTGGTCAGCAGAGGAGGGATGTTTGGCTTTTCTATAGTTTGTGGGAAATGAAGGAATAACTGGGCTGCTCGTAATTTTGCTCCTCACAATGAGCTATATCAAGGTCCCTGCTTTCACGTGTAGAAAACCTCACAAGGAAATGTCAGCTTCAGTCCTACCTTGCCTGATTGCTCCAGGAAAGTGGAAAATAATGAAAAGAGACTCAATAGTTCCTAGAATGGCACCTTCCAGATATGGTCCTCTAGACTTAACTATTTGGTGTTATTCCAGATAACTCCGATCCTACTGCGTGTGTTCTGTAATCTGCTTTTTACTTTTTTCAAATGTGTTAACATGGGAACACAAGGATTATTTCTCTGGATCACGTTAATGATTGCAGAATATTTTAAGGACCTGTTACAAACGACGTAAACCATTCTCTTACAGGACCTCTAGTTCATTTTTAAGTTTTGCCAATCTAATGTCACCGCAGACAGACTTCTGTAGGCATCCGTGATTCTGAGAGTAAATTTCTAGAAGTTGCTGGATCAGAGTTCTCATGGTTTTGAAACCCCTGCTGGATTTCCTTTCAGGAAGGTAGCTCTAACTGTGGTTCCTCCTAGCAGTGCGTGTGAGAGTGTCTGGTTTTCTGCACCTATGCTGAGACTAAGTATTTTCTCGCAAATTTATTATTATAGCTGACCCAGTGGTACAGTTGTTCCAGGGGTACAGCAGAGTGACTCGACAATTCTATTGGTTACCCGACGCTCGCCATAAGTGTGGCCCCCATACAACATCATTACAATCTCCCTGACTGTATTCCCTGTGCCATACTTTCCATCTCCATGACTCCTTTTTGCCGTAGCTAGAAGTTTGTCCTTCTGAATCTCCGCCTATGTCACAATCTCCACCCCCCTCCTTCCCTCTGGCAACCACCAATTTGTTCTGTATTTAACAGTCTGGTTTTTGTTTGTTCATGTGTTTTTCTAGACTCCACGTGTAAGTGAAAGCATGCAGTATTTTGTCTTTCTCTGACTTACTTAGCATAACACTCGAGGTCCATCCGTGTTGTTGCAAATGGCAAGATCTCCTTTTATTATGGCTGAGTAATATTCCTGTGTGTGTGTGTGTGTGTGTGTGTGTGTGCGCGCGCGCGTGGGCGTGTGTGTGCGTGTATACACGTACGTACATGTATACGCTCCTTCCTTATCCATTTCTCTCTTGGACCCTTGAGTTCCTTCCCTATTTGGCTATTGTAAACGATGCTGCATTACACACAGGTGTACATGGGCCTTTTTGAATGTGTTTTCATTTTCTTGGGGTAAATATCTAGCACCTGAATTACTGGCTTGTATTTCTATGTTGAACTTTTTGAGGAACTTCCATACCTTCTTCCACTGTGGCTGCACCAATGGACATTCCTGCCAACAGTGTGGGAGGGTTCATTTTTCTCTGCATTTGCATCAACACTGCCTGACGCAGGCCTTGATCCTACGAACCACGAGAACATGACCTGAGCGGAAATCGAGTGTCGGACGCTTACCCCACTGTGCCACCGAGGCACCCCATTTTTTTTAGACTAGCATTCTGACAGGTGTGAGGTGCTTTTATTTGCGTTTCCCTAATGATGAGTGATATTATCTCTTCACCTGTCTGTTGGCCACTTATGCCCTCTTGGGAGAAATATTTATTCAGGCTTCTATCCATTTTTAATTGGATTATTTGGGGTTTTTTGGTGTTGAGTCGTAAAAATTCTTCATACGTTTCGGATATTAACCCCTTGCTGGGTATATCCTCTGCTAATATCTTCTCCCATTCGGTAGATTTCCTTTTTGCTTTGTTGGTTTCCTTTGTTGTGTGAAAACCTTTTATTTGGTGTAGTCAAGACTAAGTATCATTGCCTGCTTTTTTTTTTTTTTTCAACGTTTATTTATTTTTGGGACAGAGAGAGACAGAGCATGAACGGGGGAGGGGCAGAGAGAGAGGGAGACACAGAATCGGAAACAGGCTCCAGGCTTCGAGCCGTCAGCCCAGAGCCCGACGCGGGGCTCGAACTCACGGACCGCGAGATCGTGACCTGGCTGAAGTCGGACGCTTAACCGACTGCGCCACCCAGGCGCCCCTCATTGCCTGCTTTTAATTTAAACTTCAGAGTGTCCCAGATTATGAAATACTTGAATAATAGAACTCTTCATAAAAGTCATTTCTGCTCATGAGGATAAAGTTAGTATGAAATATTGTGAAATGCATTGCGGAGACATCATGCCTTGCCATGCCTTTCATGCCTTCAGCTGACTTTACTTTTTACTGCAGAATTTATTTAATAGTTTCTAATGGCAGGGGTTGGTTGCTCCTGGCTTTCCAATGCAAGTTTACACTTATTACTATCTACAGATCGTGTCACGTTATTTTAGTTTATCTTCCTTTTGGTCCCATTATTTTAATTATGCCTTGGGCAAGAACCTAGGATTTGTGAAAGCTGTTCATTAATTACATCAGTCAAAAACAGAATCCTAGGAAACATAATTTTTCAAACTCCCAACTCCACCTAATATGACCACTCTTAACGGAAATGAAGTAATGTTGTCCTTACTTTATTACTTTTGGCAAAACAAAACAAACCTGTCTTTCGAGGACAAACTAGTAGTCTTTTGAGACCAATTGTGTCTCAAACAGATCGTCTGCAACTTCCATGACTACCCAACATGGTAGCTGTTGCTGCAAATGGAGTTATTATTGTTTTGGGTTTTTTTTCTTAGATCACAAACATCGGAACGGTCTTCCTCCCAGATAATAACACTCTAACCAGAGTGAATTAGTGCCCCTTTACAGTGTGTATTTTTATTTTCATAGCTTTATAATTTGGCTCACATCGCTTCCTCTGTCTTCAGTATCTTTCTTCTCTTTGTGAATTCCTTCTCATCCTTCAGAATTAGTATGTGGTGAACATGACCTGTGGTACCTGTTCCTACACTCCTTCTTGTAGAGCTATCAAAGTTCTTGTCAGTGGTGGACTGGATATGGTTGGCAGGGTTAGATTTTTAGGATCAGGGTGGGCAAGCTAGCCAACTGGACCAGAGGTGGACCGCTAATCAAAGCTGAGCCAGTCAGAACCATAGGGGAGGGATCAGGGTCTAAGTCTGAGAGACAAAGCAGTTTGCTAAGCTGACCTGAGCTGAAAAACCACTTATAATGAGGACAGAGTGCATGCCAGGATGAGGAGCCACAGGCCTGTGCAAATTACAGTAGAGCAGAAATCGTTAGCAAGTGAACGAAGCCAGTCTGCAGATTGGCTTCTATGCCGATTTGTTTATTTTTTGTTTTTGTTTTTTGGGAGAGGTATCACTCCAACCCGCGCCTCCTGTTACTTTTTCTGGTTTCAATGGTTTCTCTTCCTTGAAATAAAAAGACCTTGAAGATGGTTCCTATATCACTGTCCTGAAAGCATTTTATGAGGACCTACAGGCTAACTCTTCCATCTGTAGGAATATATATCAGGTATTACTGTATATACTCTCTATAGTAGTGTCCTATAATATATAGGTTTTATCATCTAATAATGAAGACCTAAAATGGAGTACTTTGAGCTAGATATAATGCTAAGGATTGATAATGCATGCATTATCCTCCTACCTATACTCTAAGTTGGAGTTGTCTCCACATTATCCATGAGGTGATACATCTTTGTCCAACACCATGCAGTTAGGAACAAGGAAGTCATCATTCCATCCAGCTCTGTCTGACTCCAGATACGGTTTCTTTTTTTTAATGTTTATTGACTTTTGAGAGGGAGAAAGAGACTGGGGTA